GGAGAGGGGAGTTCCTCCTTCAGCTCTTTTCTCGTCGTAGCCGGAGGCGAGACACTCACCGTCACTAGCTGTCAAGGTTCCTAGACGGGCATTACAAGCGAGGCGTTAGCGACATCCACCAGGTGCTCTTTGCTAATCGTTTAATTCATTTTAAAATTCCTTTTCCTGACTTTTTTAACAAGGTATTAGTATGTTCGATGTGATGCTGCTTTTTTGAACACATAGACCGAAAAATGAGCGCCGAAATTTCGTTGTAGTATCCCTTTAAATCCGCCCAATTAACATATTGGTGACAATTTTAAGTACTTGGAGTTATTGCATTACCAATTTATCTATCATGAGCGCAATTTTCATTGCAATTACTCTTGATTATTTCGTGTTACTATTGACCCAATGAACATTAATTTGGCTTAATTGACAGTTTGATGTTTCTTATTACTTTGAGCTAATATCGAACCAATTGCATTCTTATGAGCTAAATTTGCATCATGGTTACCCTTTGAAATGGTTTGAGCTGCTATTGACCCAGTATTTTGATTACTTTTGAGTCATTATACAGTCAATTTAATAATTATTAACTATATTGATGATTTGATTACTTTTTCGATTACTTATAGTTACTTTTGAGTTACTTTATACTTCACTTCAATTACCCCAGACACCAGAGGGCAGCGTCGGACCAGAAGTCCTTCCAGTGAACCCTTCTCCTCGTCCAACGGCTCCCTTTGGTGTCTGCGATACTTCCGAGGTAAACGATCTTTGATTCGGATATTAATCGAAAAAATGTAGAGCCCTTTCACTTCACGTGAAGATGGAAGACCAGCTAAGCTATTTTAACGTGTAGGACGATGCCTAGAGGACGACCTCAATGACGACTTCTATGACGACCTCGAACACCGCCTAGAGGACACGTTTAGGACGACCTCAGGGACGATGTCTAGGATGACCTCGAGGGACGATGTCTAGGATGACCTTGAGGACAATGTCTAGGACGACTTCTTGGACGACCTAAAGGACGATGCCTGGAGGATGACGTCTAGGACGACCTCAGGGACAACTTCTTGAACAACCTCAAGGACGAAGTTTAGGACGACCTCAAGGATGGTGTCTAGGATGACCTCGAGGACGACGCCTATGACAATCTCAAGGATGACGTCTAGGACGACCTCAACAACAGCCTCAAGGACGATGCCTAGGCCGACGTCTAGGACAATTTTAAGGACGACCTCAAGGACGACGGCTAGGACCACTTCAGGGAAGACATCTAGGACGACCTCGAGGACAATGCCTAGGGCTACCTCGAGGACGACGTACAGGACGAGCTCAAGGACGATGTCTAGGACGACCTCAAGAACGACGTCTAGGACAACTTCTAAAACAACCTTGAGGACAACACCTAAAGGACGTCGTCCTCGAGGTTGTTTTAGAAGTTGCCCCTGAGGTCGTCCTAGACGTCGTCCTAAACATTGTCCTTGAGGTCGTCCTAGACGTCGTCTTTGAGGTCGTCCTAGACATCGTTCTTGAGGTCGTCCTAAACGCATACTTGAGGTCGTCTTACACGTCGTCCCAGCCATTGTCCCTGAGGTTGTCCTAAATCTCGTCCTCTAGGCGTCGTCCTTGAGGTCTTCCTAGAAGTCGTCCTTGAGGTCATCCTACACGTCGTCCTGCAGGCATCAATCATCCTTGAGGTCATTCCAGAAGACAATAAGTTCATATGCATATTGTGGATTAAATTGACTGACCCCGGGATAAAATTGGGTAGCGCAAGGATTAAATTATGTGGCGCTTGGATCAAATTGGGTGGCACTTGGATTGAATTTTCAGTCGCTTGGATTAAAATGAGCGGAAAAACCTGTAGAAACAAGAAAAGGTCACTTGGTGTAAGATTGGGGGAATAGGGTGCGTGTGGCAGTATTTCAAAGCTTCGTTGCTTTGCTTCCACAGCAGCAGCTCAAGATGAGCGAGCGGGTGCTTTATCAATGAGGAGGCGGACACCCTTGGAGAGCATACCGCGGTATTTTTTCCTTGGAGCATCTCGCAGTTTATTCAGTAGTGAGCAGTAATATGTGCTATAAATTGTCTGGATTTTTTAATGTGGTGTGTCAGGACAACAGTCCCAGAACACCGATGCGACCTTCCCTGCAGACTTTGGCACCTTGTCCTTTTTGGAAAGAGGAGAATAAGAGTCCTCCCACTCTTTGCTCATCTCTTTGGTCTCCGGATCATAGAGGTAGATCCAACATTCGGCCATGGTTACCAAAAGACTAAAATGAATTTCCTTTGTTGTGTTCCAAAAGAGTCAGCGTCAGCCTTGATTGATCGAATCGTGTTTGCCTGTTGAGTGGAGTTAGCGGGCGAGGTACCCAGCGTGCAGACAACTTAGACAAGCACAGTTTGTCATGAATTATGTTCCACACGCTGCCAAAGCTTAAACCTGTTTCATGCATGATCATTTGAGGATTTACTCGTTGATATTCCAGAATGAGATCAACTTTCTTCACTGTGCTGCATCATCAGTGAAAGGAGGTCGTCCAAATATAAGTTTGTCTGGTGTCTGCAGTAGTTTTGCGAGGCAATCAATCTTTGATACTCATTTTAATAGAGAAATTGGTCACGCATGAATGTAATGTTTGGTTTTTTAGGATTGGTTTCTGAACCACTCCATGGAGGAGGAGTGGTTCAGAAACCACTCCTCCATGGCAGTAAAGCAGGGCACATTTTATTCTTCATATGTATGGACAAACTGAGCCGGTGACTTGCATGCTTCAAGAACCAAATATTTCTCTATTGTCATCTCGCAGAGAAATTATGAACTTTAAGTTTGTTTAAGCTTATTCGGGATCAGTTTAATAGTGATACATCCCAATTGCTGCCACCATTTGATGGAGTCAATGCAAGTACAGAGCCTCTAAAATCCCACGACGAGCAAACAATGACACTCTTAAATATTTGTCTTTTATTAAAAGTTTGATTGAATAAGACGAGCTAGCTGAGGATGTAAATTTAGATTTTAAAGGCTGGTAAAGTGAAGTTTTATCTGTGCCTCTGCTTTGAGAGCGTTCTGAAAGTGCAGAGTCCTATAGTATTACTTGTATCCACGTGGTTGCTCTATTTTTTGTTCAGTAGCCTAAAACATACTGGTGTGTATATGTATTTATATTTTTTCTCTTCTGTAACAGCCCTGAAGGAGCTAACAGTTTTGATCAATAAATTAAAATTTGCAGCAAATTTTATTTCTGAAGTTCTATAATGCATGAGATGCAGCATTTAAGGAGCAATCGTTTAAATCTCTTTAAAAGACATTAAGCAGTCAATTCGGGAGGTGAAGAAGCTATATTTTAGTAGTTTAGTGGAGAAACTTACTTGGCACATACATCATGTGAGGTAAATTTTCCCACCAAATTTAGCGGGGAAACTGAATTTGTGTGGACGTCCGTGACGTCAATTTCCCCTCTTATTTAGACGGGAAACCGACTTGGTGCATATATCACGCGACATTCATTTTCCCGCCAAACTTAGCGAAGAAACTGAATTAGTGTATAGGTCACGTGACATCAGTTTCCTCCGCTAAATTTAACAAAAAATGCATGGACAGACACAAATTTCGGAGGGGAAGGGAGGGGGGTGTTTCATTAAAAAGCACTTTATAAGCCTACAGGCTTTGTTGAATGCTTCATCTCATAGTTGAGCATCGCTTCATGGTTTTAGTAGGCTCAAATATTACCAAAGCTGGGTAATAGCAGGAGAATTCGGGTGCATGAGTGTCACAGTTTTCAAGTCCACAAAATAGGCAAAAGAGTCACTGTGAGAGCTGTGAAGCCTCATTCGAAGCTCGGTTTTCCAAGACTGCACAACGCAACTTTCATCTTGTGCCGCTTTTTTTATATAGATGGTTAATTGTTAGTGCTCCTTCTTTATTCTGGAAACCACATATGCTAATGCTAAGATTTTAAAATGCATGCCAACCTGCTGAATCTTAAAAAATTGAAAATACACTCGGTGGAGCAACTGATTAATGTGGCGTAAAATGAAGGGTGTAAGAGTACTTCACTCCAACAAACCTACTGTGCGAGAACAATCGAGCAATCTAAGCTGCTCTTTGCACGATAACAAAAAAGTTGTGTCTTGCCTTCTGTAGATGGACGTTCCCCTAAGATGGCTGAAGCTAGCCATTACATAGATAGCGTGCCATAAGCCAAGGAGCCAACCACCAACTGCTGCAAGACCATGCTTTGTTGCCTAGTTATTGAACACTGAACCCGTGTAGAGGCCAGTCCTCACTTCTGCTGCCAACAGGTATACACGATACCCAAGCGAATTTGTCACACGGTCGTTTGACTCCAGATAGCCACAGAATAGTATTTCATGTGCATGGCTTTGTTGGTCGGACAAGGTCTTTTTCCGACCCTACTTGTAGCACTTTTGCAGATTGGTGTAATGAAGAGCAACTTTGGAAGGGTGTTAAGTTTCAAACCAATGTAGTCCCTTCGGCAGGTGCCAGGGACACATCTAGGATGAACATAGACCAGCTGGTGATGTTTTGGAGGCTACCAAAATCTCATTAAGACGAGGCTCTTGGATCACTACAAGCCTTTGTCGGATTGTGAGCACCTTAAGCCAGGGCCGACACTTTCCCTCTTAGCCACCGAGGCAGCTCACTGCAAACTACTTCGCTGGCCACAGTGAACATAAAAACAGCTTGAAACTTGCCTCAGTCTCCCTCCTGCCCCATACAAAATACTACCTACACCCTGGAATATCAATGGCACCTCAAAGGATGCTTTACTGTATTCACTTTCCCCACTTGGGAAAGAGGAAAAGAAACAAGTGGCAGCTGCAGCAGCTGCAGGTACACCTGCGCACTAGGTTGAAGCTAGGAAAGTCGCATTTTCCCAAGCCAGATAATCTGGACTGCAATTTTGATGGATCCTCCTTTTATATAAAGAGGATGCGCAGAACCACTTCAGCAGTAAAAATTTCACCACACAGTCGAAGCATTGTGTAGTGCTCACCAAACTTTTATGGAACATGCAAACTGTTCATTTTCTCGTGGTAGCATTTTCCCAGAGGAAGCCGAAGAACGGTCCCTTACATGTCGTTGCAGAATGGTTTGTCGAGTGTTACGTAACAAAACTTGCTCAGCTGTCGCAAGGAGAGCGATCCGAAGAGAAAAGACTTAGCTGGACTATGTTGTTGTCTGACGGCCCACTTTTCCAACAATCGGCAAGACACCCAAACCAGTCCCTGCACCAAACACGAGTACAAAACGTCTGAGCAACCCTACGCCAACGTCGTCCACACCTCCGGCAGTTTGGTAGCGACACAACCCAGCTCAGTCTACGTCGTCCAGTTCCACCACGACTGGACGCTCTTCGTCAGGCTCCTCTTCGTCAAAGCTCCAGCCCATCAGCTCAACGAGGCTCGTCTTGAAGCGGAAGGCCTTCTTCTTCAGAGACGCCGGACCTACATCCGGCTCGTCCGAGTCCGCAACATTCCGGAACAGAGCGCTCAGGGCATCTGTCACGAAATTCTTGCGCGCCACAATGTCGACGAAGAAGTCCGTGGGCACCTCCCGCAGCTGGAAGTGGAGCACTGAGAGCAGCTCCGAGTAGAGGTCCGGGTGGCGGTTGACGGCCTCCGCGCTCGTGCAGAAGGCACTGACCAGCCTCTGCCACTGCTCAAAGCTTGGGTAGACATGGCCCACCAGGAAGCAAACGAAGACAAACTGCAGCTCGCCGAGGAGGTCGCGCTCATGCGGCCACGCGGACAGCAGGCTTTCGAGGACGTAGCTCGAGTCCATGCCATGCCTGGTGATCTCGGCAGGCGTGGCGTTGCTGGGGTGCCTGCGCGGATGCGCGAGCGTGCATGACAATGTGGGGCCAACGGGTTCAGCGTTTACAGACTAAGGGAGAACGCCGCTACCCCCTTTGAGCTATGTAGGAAGCCGCCGCAAGAGCGATAACCTTTCTGCCCATTGAGTGTATGGATCTCCAGTTTTTTAATAATGTCGTGGGAGTGTCAACCAGCAGCACGGAGCAGTGCAGCAATATGAGCGAGAATAAGCACACACTCCTGAAGCACGTTCATCTGCGAGCGTTGTCTGCTAGGCTGTTCTGCTGACTGCAGACAGCCACTGCAGTGGATAGCTCTACCAACAAATAAGGAGCAGAGTGTCCATATTGTTTTGTGGAAACAATTCCTGGAAACATGTCTCATCGACAACTTTTTATGGACACATCTTTCATCGAAACTCGTTTTGTGGACAGATGCTCCTGCGACGCTTCATCACCAATGTATTTCTTTTACTAAAAGCGTATCAAATCTGGAGACCACTGAAGGCTAGCTCATGATTCGCTGAGGCACGTTTACGTAAGCTTTGGCCCACCCTCCCCCCTCCCCTGTCCCTTCCCCCATAAACCAGGCGAGACTCAAAACGTTTGGTGCGAAAACAGCGGGTTGTGTATGACGAAACGTCAATAAAACAAATCTGGGAAGCTTTTCGATAAAATGAACCGTCCATGAAACGTCTCATGTCGGCAAGACGACTCGTCGATGAAATGTCATTTGATGAAGTGATTGCTGCCGAGAACCAGGGGCTGTGTAGTCAGCAGAAGAGCCTAGCAGATGACTCTCACACATGAACATGCTTTGTGCAGATGCACTAATTTTCACTCGTATCGCCACCCCCGCTCCATGATACGGCACCGCCCCCCCCCCCCCCCCCCTAAATGCTCTCGTAATATTATTAAAACATTAGAGAGCTGTACTTCTTGCAAATATGCAGCTGTAAGTAAAACGTTATAGTAGTTTTATCAGCATTTTCCACTTTTCCCCATATTCAGAAAGGTGCTGCAAAAACGTGACATGGAGGGAGGTTTCACTCGAACCATTTGGTGTAGGCTGCCTCGATGTTAACTCTCTTTACTATTCTTGACATAACTTTCTTGGCACAAGCCCAGAGTATCGACGGTGCTTCAAGCATTTTCAGTCTGCGTGGCAGGATTGGAGCTTGTGCACCAAGGTCACCGCTTGTACAAAGTCTACTAAAACGTTGACGATTCAGCATCGAGAAAAAAATTAAAACTATGCAGCACAAATTACCGCAGCCCAAAAAATGAGTTAGATTGGCAACCACATGTATGAGCATCCTTTATTTGAAGCTATTCATGCTGAGGTTTCAGTATAATCTAGCATATACCAAACAACTTCAAACACGGTTTAATAAAGTGTAAGAATTGATATCTCTATGTAGCGAGCTGTATGCCTAATGCATGTGTATCTTAGTAAAGATCTTCGTTTGGATACCAAAATGCAACTCTGATTGCACGAAATGCCTGAACAAAAACCATGTGTCATTTAAACAGAAAGTAGCCAACTAGAGAAACGACAATGATGTATGCAGATATTGCCATGAGTGTGTTGTCAAGACTGTAGCCAACAGTACTTTATAATTGTATCGTGTGATGAAGGTTGCATTCAATGTCCAACAAGTGGACTGAAGTTTAAGCCAGAAATATTGAGGAGTAAAAGCACATACAAGACAACACACAGGACGCTCTCACTGTCAACAGTTTCCACGCGTCATCCACTTTCTTTCACTGATTAGCTAAGTGCCTTGGTCGGCTTAATTCAATAACAATTTTTTTACTTTTTTTTTTTTGTTGTTGTTAAAATGAAGATACAAAAATACTGTAAATGACTTTATTTATGCAGGTTCAATATTTCACAAAATTTTCAAAGTGAGGGCATTGATATTATTTTTTGGGCATAAAGCTTTGTGATTTAGAGTAACATCCTATGTATTCGTCACAATGGGCCGATAGATTTCAGTCAGAAATTTTTCACTATAATTTTAAGTTGTCAAAAGATAAATTTTTACAGTATACCGTTTTGGAACCTGCCGAGACATGGGCAGCAGGACAAACAAGGAGAGGAAGTTTATCATTCGTAAAGTAGCAGTACCCACCACGGCTCGGAGCACGTGAAGCAAAAGCTTGCACTGCAAAACCCAGATCCTGAGTAACAACCGTGGTCTTGCATGTTTTGGTCTGGATAAGCGTCATACCGGCGTGCATTTGTGTAATAACCACTGTATGATGCATGTAAAAAGACTTCTCACCTACAGTGTGAACCAGTGTCACCGCACAACCTCGCGCTGTCCTGTCCTTAGGCAAGGTTGGTCTAGACATGTGTTAGCCCTGTTTAGACCAACCTCGCACTGTCAAGACAGGTTTAATTTGCTTTGCTAGCTGTTTTATACTTGAAATGCAGGAGCAAGGTCCTTAGTTTGAAGACCTAGTTACGGGACCTTGCAATTTAGAATAAAGCAATAGAAAAGTATACAATGGTCGCATCGTAGATAAAGCATAATAACTAGGAAAGCGACGGTAAAGCAGAAGTCACTAATTACACTCCAAATCAAATGGCCTGCACTGTGCACCGAGTGCAAACTATCCAAGAAAAAAAGATTTTTTTTCAACCAATATTTGCTTTTGCATTGGGTGCAGAAATACGGTACGTACCGCCTCTTGGGGAACGGTGTGTAGCGTATCATGAATTCTGGCAGTTCCTTCAGCTCGACCAGCTTGTCTGCCTTGGCGGCAATGTCCGCCTCCTTGTCTTCCGTGTCTATGGCAGCACTATCAGCATGTCCTTCCGAATTCCGGCGTCCTCGGTGCGAGCAGAAGGGTTGCGACTCGAACGGCGTGGCCGAGCAGATGAGTTTGCTCTCGGGCTGCAGCCGTGCCACCACCTCCCTCGTGATGTGCTTGCTGAGCGAGATCCAGCGAGACCACTCGCTATACGAGAACACCCCCAGGTACCTGTCTAGGTCGCCAGTCAGGTTGGCACGGATGCGCTCCTTTTCTTCCGCAGAAATGGGCACCGAGGATATGTCTGCATAAGACGGATGGACGCAGACTCAGCCGAGATTACAAACAAATGTTAGTAACATCTTCTGCATGCTCATGTGCTCCTGTTCATTGCAGACCTACAAGATAGTCAAAATCTTTCACTTCCACTTTTTGCATTCATCAATGGGAGAGCAGGGAGAAACCTTCTCCTCTTCTACAAACTTTGTAAAGTAATCTAAAATAGGCACGAAAGCAATGTTTGACAAGAAAACAGAATCCTTCGATTTTGATTAGTTACCCGTGGCCACTGGGAAAGAGGAAATCTGGGAGTAAAACCTGCAGGGCGGCCTTTAAGCATGATTGTCACTGACAACCATGGCCACCATTATCGGGGTCACAGCATGAACATTATCTGCAGGGAGATTGAAAGAGGATGAGCATCAAGGTGCAAAGGGTGCTGTGCAAATGACTAGAGAGCCATGTCATCTTATTGTTGTCAAGGTACTTTGTTTCTTGTAACTTGGAAGTAACCTAAACACATCGGTAAACATTCAACATGAAGGAAAATGGAGGAGGCAGAGGAACAATGCTTTAATGTGATCCATGTTCCTCTGCCCTGTACCTGCTTTCTCATGCACTGTTTTTCACCATTTCCATTTTTATCTTCCATACGATTATGTTTTTTCCCCATTTCTCAGTTTCCCCTTTTACCCACTTCTCTTCCAACCACCAAACCACCGTAACATAATGCCGGAGAGCTCCTGATTGGTCAAGCAGATTTCTCCCCCCCTTCAACACCATCCTTCTACTTTCTTTTTCTCTGCAATGCTTTTCAACCATATTGGCGGAAAGAAGGCATGCGAGGTTAGCTGGTGAGCTGGCATGGGTTAGATGATTTTTTTTGCCAGCCATGTTGTGACTCCTGGTTTTGAACTCCTATATATACAGTGTTTCATTCCAGACTGAACCACACAAAACAAACCGATCTGAGTCACCTAAACTTTGTAAGTGAGCCTGCCTCATGACCTTGGAATCTGATCAGGCACAGGGGCAGGCACAGAGAAAGGTCACATGGCTGGACACTCCCATCCCAGCACTCAACAAGAAAAAAAGACTCGCAGCGTCCACGTGACCCACCGAACCGTGTAAGCATGGCTCTAAAGAAACGTAAGCGTGAAGTTTTTTGTGTTCGCCATAGTTAGTGAACGAAGTCTTTTAAAAGGCAGCTCCGGCGATTTCTTGGGCTACCCAAACTCACAAGTTCTAAAACTTGCAGGTCGAGCGGGCAGTCTAAAAAAACACCCTGTGCCGTGCATTTCTTTCCTTTTTGTTCCGCTGGAGAAAGCTTCCTCAGCACACACTTCACACCATCAAACTTCTTGTGGGAGCGAGTCATACCACTCAAATTACGTCATCTGTCGACGCTTTTTCACTGTCGACAGTAGAGCCTTTTTAGTTGAAGAAAAGCAGAGGTTTAAATATTAAAAATTATATAGGTAACTTTGCAAAAAAGAAATTGAAACATTTACAAATCCCTGCAATGCGAAATTAGAGCGCAACCCTCGAGGTATTTTGATTTTGTGATATACTGTGACGGGAAGGTATGCAGGAGGGGGAGGGGAGGGTATGGACAAGGAGGGGAGGGTACGAAGGAGGAGAGGTTAAGGCGGAGGAGGAGATGGTATGGAGGACCCTTCCCTCCTCCTTCTCCCAGTTTCTCCGCTAGATTTAGCGGGAAAATTGACATCACGTGACCTCAACACCAATTCAATTCCCCGCTAAATTTAGTAGGGAAACTGAATCGGTGTTGAGGTCATGTGATGCCAGTTTTACCGCTAAATTTAGCTGAGAAACTGGATTCGAAGTGTTGCAATAGGGGATGTCACAGACCTACACACTAATCCAGTTTCTTCACTAAATTTAATGGGGAACTGAATTGGTGTATAGGTCTGCGACGTCCCATAATGCAACAACACGCACGGTTACTCCGACGGCGACACCGCGAAACACAAGGAACGACCGCCTAATAGCTGCACCCTAAAAATATTATTTTGACCTATTATTCGGATTTTCAGTTCGGCCACGTCTATGATGCCTGCAACGCATGTCCGACTGGTCTGTTCTCCGCATCTAAAAAAAATATGGTTTCCGCCTGATGACGTCGTACAAGTGTCATGCTGTCTCCGGCCCCAATCTCCGGCGGTGTCACAGTGGGGGTAATGGATGTGGCAGACGCCTGTTCTGCCGCAGGTCGCTCTCTGGCTTGACAGTCCACGGAAGCTTGGGTAGCCAGGAGTTGGGATGCTGTGACGACATCGGCACCCATGTTTGCCCGTGCTTTTTGCCGGAATTTCTCAACCAACCGCCAGGATCGCTGCGTCCGGCAGCAGGACGCTCCAGCCTCTGCGACGTCGTTTTTTGCCACTTCAGTACCACTTTCGGTGTATGGGCGAGACGGGACACTAAGCGCACCGGCGGACATGCGTTTCAGGCACCCCTAGCCACGTCTATTGACACGTTCAACTAATTTTGAGACAAATCGGCGACTACTTGGCGAGACCTCTCTCCTCCGTAGCACCGAATCCGCCACGACGCCGGCTCTCACCCTCGGCCGCCTTGTCCCACCTCTTGACGAGCAGCTCGCCTTGCGCGAAGTGGTGGAAGAAGCCCGTCCGGGGAGCGGAGTTGCCGCTGCGGCCGACGGCGCTGTAGTGGATGAAGTGGACGCCCGCGGGGATGAGCTTGACGCCACGGAAATTGTCACCCACTGTGTGTGTGGACATGTTCATGCCGAACTCGGTGCCGGCCGGCACGTCCAGGAACACGAAGGTGGCACCCCGGGCCTGCAGGCTGGCCAGTACCTCGGCGTCCACCTCGGGCACGCCGCCCTCAGACTCCTCCAGCATGCTGGGAAGCAGGGGAGCCGGGTTAAAGGCCGATACTCACGTTTGGATGCGACCACCGCTTGCGACTGCTTACAAAGAGAATGCCTAGATTTAAGAGAGGGAGCAACTAAAACCAAGGGGAGCGTTTGCAATTTTACGGCGAACGCCTCTCGCAGAAATTGGTCACAAGTGTGCATGCACTGTGTCGTCGCGTGGCAAGGACATCAGGCGAAAAGGCGAAGACAGTTGCAGCAAATTGACGCTTTCGCCTCCTTCTCGCAGCTCGTATTGCAAACACGGCCCATAAACCATGTGACCATGATCGAGCAGTTGGAAACTCTCTGTAATACAGGTTGCCTAACGACGAGGGAATGTACTGGTTGCCCTGGAACAGCTCTGGTCTGCATGTCTATTTATTTATTTTACACACCCTCAAGGAGTTACTTTTTTACTTTTATTTAAAAATAAAAAATAAAACTAAAAATCAGATTTCTTAGGCATCACTCCTTCACTATAGGCTTAAAATAATTCTCACAATGTTATAAGCGACCATTTCTGGTAAATAGCGTGTACATTCAATTTCACAAATACTGCAAAACTTTCAGTTTAGTTTTTGCAGAGGCGAATTTCGGTTTGAAAAAAAGTCTCACCTGGTGCATAGTCCGCACAAAAATTATTCTCGTACGCCGCACATCTCGAAAAATGCCTGCTTTATCAGCCCACAAAGAACCTTCTATCACGCATAAATCATCATTAACATACACTGTCATTCACAAAATCCATCTAGTCTCGTCATGATGCACAAACTAGAAAATATAAACCCTCGTATAGTCGGCACCCGTAGGTAGTTCGCATTGCGTAAAATTTCATCTTAAATACATATCGTCTGTGGACTATAGTGTTCCAGGTCTACCTGACAGATGCCATCGGTGCATTCTTTCATCATAAGCAGTCACAAGTGGTTGAAAGGCAGCCAGCCACACTCAAACACAAGCGTGCGGACCAGCCTCTAGACATGCCTTGCACTGGAATCACTGGATACTTTCAGAGTAATGCATTCCGTAATGTCCGTGCGGGATGGAGGTGGGGCTACAGATCATCCTAAAAAAAGGTACCATCTTTTCCGGACCACAGTCTGTGGACTATACGTGTTTAAAAGTTGATATTTTACCCAGATTACCTACAAGTGCATGCTATACAAGGATTTTTGTTTTATTTTTTCCAATCAAGATTGTTTACTGTGATGAGACATAAAGGATATTAACAGAGCATATTAATGTTGATTTATCTGTGATACAAGCTTCTATTGCAAGCTAATACAGCAGGCATTTGTCAAAGTGTGCTGTGTATAATTTTTACATTCGGATTAGGCAATGCACACTATACACCGGGTGCAGACTATAGTCCAAATATACTGTATTTTGGCATTTACAATGTTGATGCGTTTGCCACCCACTTTGCTGCTCTACTGATAAAGAGAAGGCTAAACTCTTCATCATTTTGATACATAAATTTATGTGCATATACAGTGATGTCTCGTTAATATGGACACAACCGTTCCCCCCAAAAAAGCACCCACGTAATGTGAGTTGTTCATAACAATGAGACAAAAATACATTTATGTACCCAGTTCGGTATCGAAAATGTTGTCTATGCAGCTGGGTATCCATATTAACCCTTTGACGGTCGAGTTTTTTTCCCCGAGTGATGTTTCCCAGGGGTCCGGTTTTGTTCGCCAAAACATAGTGTAAAGCAAGGGTCAATGCGCAGGTTTTTCTGAATTATCTAGCGGGAGCACGGACAGTGCTTGCAAGCTGTTAAGGTTTACAAGCATCAACTGAAAACGTAGAAGGCGAAAAGTTGTCACCATTCTTCCATTTGGTTTAATTTTGGCACATTGGCTTCCGCAACATTTCGGCGGCTTCAGATTCCTGACTGGAGGTACTTTACAGAACTTCTCCGTTGGATGACTAGCTCTCAACCTGTAAATTTAATTCCAAAAAGTGTCGGACGTATGATTCGGAAGAGCCGTTGACCCTGGCAAGTTTTTTGGCCTTATTGTTTACAAAAAGGGAGCTAAGCCTTGTCTTGTGTTACGCCAAGCTTATAGTGCAATGCAGCTTTTCTTGCAAAATGTGCAAGAAAAGCTGCAAGAGCTCGAGAAGCGGCGTGCAGTAGGAACGATCTGCTCGGCCGACAGACGGCCGGTCACAGCTCGATCGCTTGAGTCTGCTTTCGCGCATTTTTGAGGTTGGTCATCAAATGATCGCGTTGGCTGTTTGGAGGGACTGCAGTTTGGGAGTTTTTGGTTACAAGGTGCTTTAACGTATCTTGTAATGCTCACCTCAAGCTCGACATCATAGGAAGCTCACTGTTTTTGCGAGTTACAGCACGCCTACACCAAATATGCAGTTTCTTGTACGGCGTAGATGCAGCTTGCAGTAGCATGCATCGCCGAGTTTCTTCCTCTTTGCGAGGCGTTGAGGAACGAAAGAAGCCTTCCATGTTAGAAATTGGCTCGATTCCGCTCTGTAAAACAATTGTAAAGGGGGAATTCACACCGCCGGCTAACGTTTTCACGCGGGACAAATTCAAATGCGCAAGTTTGTACTATCCAATACCTATAAACGAATCGTAGGGGGCACTAAAAGTCTGCTTTTACGCAGCGTCTTCTGGGCAAAGCAAAGGGGCTATGTTCAACAAATGTTTCGTTTCTCCTAAAAAGAAACGGAATTTACGACATCACGTCTAATTGGTTAGAGGCTCAAATGACAGAAGTTCCCTTTTTCGTCATTTGAGCCTCTAACCAATCGGACACAATATCAACGTTTCCTTTTTTTTTTATTTTATTTTATTTTTTTTTAAGGAGGAACAAACGTTTGTTGAGCATAGCCGCCCAGGAGGCCTATATTGTGGGTTCTGTATCTTTTACCAAACGGCAGTAAGTAGCTTTTTCAGGGAAGATGCCACCCCCCTCCAAGGTTGCCACTTGCACATCCTCGCATGGTGCGGGATTTACGAGCAAAGTTTTTCGTTTTCACCAAAACCTGCTTTTGACAAAACGCACGATATAACGGTTAGCGCAGCAAGGATGCTTGAAGTGTGGGGCCCTTGAGCACTGATCGATGGTTCTTGGGAATTCGATGTTCGACAGTTGCGTTTTCCAAACCCGCACGGTGATCGAACACATTTGAGCTAAGGTGCCTCAAAGTTTCCCGCTACTGATCCGTGCGCGGCTCGACAGAAGCCACAAGCAGCGAGTGAAATCACAAAAAAAAACATACGTACTCCGCCGACATTTTGTGCGCCATCCCACAGTGTTCTGAGCTCTGAACTATCACTGTAAATTCGGTAGGAAAAAAAAAGAAAGAATAGGCCGACTAGTTACGGGAGCACGGCGAGATGCTAGCGCTACTGCGAGCCGCCATGATGGGAACGTAAGTACTGATCTAGCAAGGCCTTCTCAGCCACGACTTGCAACCACACGCTATGCTTGCAACACCTAAACGCAATAAATTATTACTTCAAATAAAATAATAATTACAATATTCAGCTTGTGCGTTTTTATCAATAAAATTGTTCATGATTGAAAATGTAAGTGAAACCAATGGCCCATACGAAACTGTGACAAATTTGCTGAACTCCGTTTCCATAGAAACGAAACCAAAACTGTAACTGGGTTGCGGTTTACATCTTGGGATTCGAGATGCGATAGCTCATCATGCGCACCGACCAAGTGACCCGTTAACCCACAATAGAAAAGTATCAAAGTAAATCGCTATGGAAGACGAAATTAGCCCCAAAGTAATCAAAAAGACACAGGACCTTTTGGGATCAGTGATAAAGAAGCCACCCCTGCAAGAGAAACTGCTCAAGAAACCGCCGTTTCGGTTTCTGCACGACATTATCCACAATGTAAGAACTTCTCCATTTTGCGGAGTCATTACTTGAATTCGGTTATGATATAAATTGAAGCCTGTCACTCGCATGTGAGCGTGTCAAGGAATGAAAGGAAATAAGTCTTTAGCCTGAACTAAAATGCTTTGTGAACCTTTATAACCTTTAACCAGTTCGCATTATTTGTGTTCTGTAACTTAAATGTCACTTTCATTGCTGTGTTCTCATATCTATTAGGTCATCAAAACGTCGAAATTTCTCGATGGCTTGTACACTCCGGAGGAGCTTACGTCGGAAAACATTAAGGTGAAGGTCCTAAATTAAAAGCTCGAGAAATTCAGGATGTACATTGATTCACGTCATATTCTGTTTCATATTCCAGGACAAGGAAAGCAAGGTAGTATTTTTGCAAAAGGCCATTGATGTCGTGAGTAAGTACCCCGACCTAACTGCTACAAAGTGGCATATGAGAAAACCCAATTCTACAGTAATGATAAGAATGCTTTATTTTTATTGTGCCAGAAACAATCACATTGGTCTCCTGTATAACGCACATACAGATATCATTAAGCGCACAATTAAAATGCAATCAGTCAGCAATCGAGATTTCTGAACGTGCAGTGGGTGCTGTTGTCGGTCAACAGGACTCAGTTCTGTATCGTAATCTTCTAATATCAATCGAATTCAAACCTTCCGCTTAGTCATGGTCACTGGAACACACCTTACGGTGCGACCATCCAAGATTGTATCCGGACACGAGGCAGAAAAGACCAACGAGTTCCTTCAACTGCTGGCAAAGGCAGCTTCGAAAAAGGTAACTACGTAAATGTGATGACAACTCCTTACATGTGTGCCTTTTGGCTGACCAAAACAAAAAAAGTATATTTCTAAACATAAATCCCAGAAGAAATTGTGGTTGCTTATTCACGATTCGGAGAGTGACTATACAACTGTCAAACCCAATGAAACATGAATGTGAGTAAAACTAGCTGCAAAGAAAAGGAATCATACACACAAATTTCTACTGTTGTGCCCTGGCCCCAGGCTTTGAGGGCTTGTTCATCGGCATAAGCTTGATGGTATATTGAACTACAAAAGGGTTATCGTTCATATCAAATATTTTTATGACCTACACAAGAACTTCAAGAAGACATGTTGCATTTTATGCCTTAGCTGAACTACACCATTTTCTTAGATAATCACGTGTGGATACTCATCGTCTATTCTATAAAATAAGACCGAAATGTAGATACAGGCTTTAAATATAAGTCCAAGCATTAACTATGTATAGTGCGAAAGGTGATCATAGCACAAAGAACTTTTTTCAAGCATATATTCTATTAAGTTCTTTTTTTAAAATTTTTTTTTTAAGTGCATATGAGAGAGACTATGTAACTGATAGGCACACATCTAAAAAATGAAAGACGTTTACAGCCCCATGCAACGCCAAATTAGAGCGCAGCTCTTGAGGAGGGGGAGGGGAAAGTACCAAGAGGAGGGTATGCCCCTCCCCCTCATCCGTACCCTCCCCTCCTCTCCTGCTCCCCTTCCATTTAGCGGTAAATTTTTGCTATATTTAGCGGGGAATTATTTTTGCTAAATTTAGTGGGGAACTTTTTCTTGCTAAATTTGGCGGGGAATTTTTTCTGCTAAATTTAGCGGGAAATTTTTTGCTAAGTTTAATGGGGAATTTTTTACGCTAAATGTAGCGGGTAATTTTTCCCGCTAAATTTAGCAGGGAAATATTTTTGCTAAATTTAGCGGGGAATTTTTTACGCTAAATGTAAAGGGGAAATTTACCCATTATGCAACGCGCGGTGACTTCATGAGTGACGTCACTCGTGGCCCTTGTGATGTCACGTGCGACGTCATTATGGGAAACGTCCCATAATGCAATGCGCGGTTACGCCGACGGCGAACCCGCTCAAGCCGGTAACTGGCGCCTAAGAGCCGCGCTCTAAAAGAAAAAATGCTAGGTTTCTCTCAGCAAAACCGATTCCCCATAGCCATAGCCTGATAATACCTCTTTCATAAAACATCCCCAAATGTAATATGAAAGCAAGTGCCATACATGAGTATTAAAATGATAATAATATTAATATGCACTCACGAGGGTGACAACAAAAAGATAATGAAAGTTCATGCCAAAGGGTGGTACCTAAAAAAAATTTTAACATCATTACTGATATCTCTTTCAAACACTCGACAGTACCTTCTATAAACATTTGACAATATTCTGTTGATTTCGCTTTTATCTAGTACTATGCCTCTGAATCCAACCTAAATACAAAACAACAGTTGTGAAGTGTTTTGCCCTGGCCCCCTGCTTAACAAATATCCAATTTGCAGCTTGATTCGAACGAAGCTGTGAAGAGGGTTCTTGCCGGTGAAAAACCAGCCATTCCAACCAAACCAGACAAAAAGGATGGTGGCGCCAAAAAGAAAGAGGTACTCTGCTGTGTACCTACAAAAAAGTGACACTTCTTGTTAACAATATGAAAAGCATGAGGCAATTAGCTCAAAAGACATTCATACATTTTATTAGCTTGTGATTCTATATGCTCACCAGAAGCAATGTCAGTTGCTGGCTCGTCTTCTTTCCTTTCAATTCTTCACTGCAATTCACTTTTTTGCTTCTAATGACACGTGATTACAGCGAGCACACAATTCCCCTTCTTTTGTTTCTTTGAAATTACAACCCCCATGCATAGTCTTCCAGTTTCATTTCATGGTGCAGAATTGTTCAACAAACACTCAGAAGATTATGGGAGCATAAATCTTTTTTGACAAAGTTTTTGAATTTTAAAGCTACCCCGTTTTATGCGTTTACAGTGAACAATCTCAAAATGCCCAGTGTCAGTAGAACATACTCAAAAGCTGTTTAGTGGCTAATGCCTGCCTGTCAATCATGTTTTCTGTGACTTCTCCAAAAAAGAACAACATTTTTCGCTAGGCATGAGGCAATTAGCTCAATATAATGCCCTTCCAAAAGGCAACATTTTTCGCTAGGACCAACCTTCAAACCTGAAATTTTAGTTTCCTTATCAAAGTCATCTGAGGTCTTCAAAGCACCTACATGAACCTTGAAAAGTACCGTTTCCAAAACCTTAGAAACACAAACATTCTGATGTTTTCGTTAGTATAGCTTCCTTAAAAAACAGCAGAGTTCTCCTCTTCTCCTGAAGCATGCATGTTTTCTCTGTTTTCCTAGAACTGGACTGTTTGTGTATATTAAGGCTGATTTACGCATTACATCAGCAAGGTCAGTGCTGAAAAGAGCACTGACCTTGCTGATGCAGCACTGCCTTTGCGCATATTAGTTGTACAGTGCTGAAACACTGCAGCATCAGAGCTGAGTTATGCTTAAGACAGTACTGCATCTGCTGTTCCTAGTGTTGATTTAGCACTGCAACATACATGCAAACTCACCTTTACTTTCTTTTTCTTCTCTCAAAGTCTACTAAAACATCGAAGAAACCAGCAACAGAGTCAGACAACAGCCGATCCAGATCCAGAAAGGCAACGGATGCTGAAAATGGCGAGGAAAAGAAATCAACGTCCCTGGCCCCGGTGAAAGAAAAATCCTCGTCCGTCAGGTCAAACAGCAAATCAAGGCTAGGAAAGACAAAGACCAGCTTGGAACACAAGACCAAGACAAACAAGGATCCAGACAAGAACGCAGCCTCGAGCAGCACGACGGCGGCAGAGGAAAGCCACGAGGTCGTGGCCCAGGACACTCCCGAGCGACCGAAAACCAGTACGAAAAAGAGAGCGGCAAAGGACGCGCCGGTTAATGCGACTGCGACAGCCGACGTCATATCTTCAGAAAAGCAGAATGGGATAGGCAATGTGGTAATTATTATTTCTTTTAATTTAGTGAATGTGAACTTAAAGTATTGAATTTAACATTGGAATATGGAAGCATATACATATGGCCCTCAATGAATTGGTTATAGTGCGTTATAGTAGATTGTTCCGATACTTGCGACAACGATACCGACAATGATATGATGTGTGTGCAAAGTTGTCAGCGGATTATCAGGCATCGTCATCAGGGTTATCAGAACGACTTGCCAAAACTCGCTTATAACTGTTTTGAAGTACTTCAGGGTCAGAGTGCTGTCGCCCTGCTTGCACTGAAATTCTCAGTGCCTGTTTTAGAACAGCAACTCTAGACTGACTCTCAGCTTCAAAAAGTGACTTTAAACTCCATACATAAAGCTCTGAATGTACCGAGCACTATGCAACATTTGAGATAATCAACAGCAGATGTCCTTAATCAGGATCATTTGCCCATATACTGTTATTTGAGAATATATTACTTATTTAGTAGTCGACAAATCTATACTATAGTATGTTGTTTTCCATGCATCATATACATATTTGAAGAAATCCCCTATGCAAGCAGAATAACATAAAAAATCAAAATAATAGCATTGCTGCTATCAGTAAATATACTCATTCTCTGTGCATTTGTCTCCAAAACTGCAGGAGGAGCCTTCAATACAGCAGGCAAGAACAGAATATGAAATGCAAGCACCCAATGTGAGTCACACAAAATACGATACCGTGTAGGTTCTACTGCTGTAGAGTAAACAGTGTGCTTGTGTTAATCACGGAACTGGAACAGTTCTCTTCAGGGGTTTTGACCCTCTTAAATGCACGCATAAGCAGTTTTTAGTGCTAATGCCAGACTTGGTACCTTTTTTGGGTTCTTTGAGGTTCTCCTTAGCCATGTCCATATTGCCACCTGGGGTCCAAATGAATGCAAAGAAAATCGTGCCTTCATAACCATTTCAAATTGTATAAACAGGAATCTAGAATCTTGACTAATCTTTTTATGTAGGTATTGTTAGAAAAATAAGTCAACCAGATTGAAAACTAGGTTTCCTCACTTAGCAGTATTCTTTAGAAAAAATTTGCATATAGGCAAGGTTCCAATACGAAATCAGAAATAATTATTTGTGCTACACTTTGAAACTAGATTGATCCAAATCATTTTTAGACTGTTAAGCAAGAGAGTTTCATTTAATAAAACACATGTCCGTTCCTGAAGGTGGTAAATATTTATAATTTATATTATTTACAGTAAATATAACTTACAGAAATATAAAAATAATTGCAGTCTCCATTAGAAACCCCCTTGATTTTAGCCAAATTTACATATCTATACTTCTCAAAAACAAACTGTGGCTCCTGACACCAGCAGCAAGATAGGGCAGTGAAGCGTGTCCAATACATTAATGCAATAGGCACAATCCTAATTCATTGTGTCAAATAAAAATGTAGTAAATATAAATATCTAGAATCCAAGGTTCACCTGAAAAGAGTACTTCTCCTTGTCTGCAGCTGCGCTGCGGCAAAGCAGCCGGTATCGTTTCGCCACGGTGCACCCGTGCCTTCGGAAAAACATAATCAATGGAGCTCTGGTTTTCAGCATTAGTTTACGTGATAGGCAATAAATCGACAATTACTTAATATAAAATCAAACTTAATTTGTGCCTAGTCTGCATTAGAAAAATTTAAACAAAGAAAATTTATGAAAGAAAGCTTTGTACAAAGAAGCAATGTAGTGCATCAAAGCAAGTGAAGGCGTACCAGTATCAAAAGCATGAAATGTGCTCTCCTTCGCTTGATTGGTTGAGCCTTCCTGATCTAAACATGATGCTCCCTAACCTTGATCAGTGTCTACACAGATAATACTGACCCATAAATTTTTACCTGCAAGCTACCAGGAATAAAGTAAAAAGAAATGCCAGACAACCACATTTTGGGAGCTTTCCCTTTTTCATTGATCAGTGAAAGAAATATTCTAATTACAAAACATGACAGAGTGTGAGCATGAGGTCTACGCACTTTCACATCTTACTCATAGAGACTAGTAGTGTCGATTACCAAACTTTACAACAGAAATTTCTGCTGCACAGTAGTCCATTCCACTGCAATATTAGTTTTAATGTAGCCATTCATCTCGAAAATACGGAAAAAACGCCGATGATCTCATGCTCGTAGGAACTATTTCACCACACTCTACTTATTCAGAGAATGCCCAAACCGGAAATACACTGGTCTTCAAGGATCGAAAATATTTGAAATTTTATCATGCCATATTACTTCAATTTGAGGGTTGCAGTGAACACGTGACATTTTGAATATTTGTACATGTCTATTGTATATAACACAGTGCAGCAATTGTAAATGTGTTCCAATGGCACGTCACACATCAGTTTTGTCGGCACAGAAAAGTATAATAATAATAATAATAATCTTTATTTTGGGGTGCCCAAAAACAACCACATTGGTCTTCTTATTGGTGCACCAACACAACAAGCAAAATGAGCAAGCAAGTACATAGGCTCTAAACATTTACTAAAAAAAATAAAATAGAATAAAACATCCAAGACAAACATAATGCTAAGGGGCTAGAGCCAGCACTTCAGTTAAAATCAAATTCACTCTGTACATGAGCACATCCAGTTACCTTTCTTGTTACCTTCCTAAGCTAGAAAATTTCAGTTTATATTTCTTCTTTATTCTTACCCTTAGGAAAAGCTTTTTAGGTGAGCTTCGTTAATTTCTTTGTTCAATGTGCCCATGGAGATTTAATGCTCCTCAAACGTATAACATACACGAAATTTGAAGACATGATGATGAGCGTTTGAAACACTTAAAGCTGACATGATGTGGATATCACCAAATGCTTCTTGATGAAAAGATTAACATTGCATGTTGAAGCAGAGGCACAGAACTGTTCTGCATAAATTTGCTAAAAGTAGAAAATTATTGGAAGCTGTTTATTGTGAATAATGGTTGGGTACACTCGTAATTAATTAAACTACTCACTACTTGTTTAGCTCAAAGGCTTCATAAGATAGTCTCTAACCTTTGCCTGAAGTACTGCTTAAGCATAGAATTTAGTTTAGTTAATTTATAGCCTCTCTCCAGTAAAGAAAAGTGCTCTACACTGAAACCAAAATATAAGACAGCCAAGCTCGTAGGTGCTCATTACGAAAACCCGAGATTGAGCTAAAACAGAAGGAGAAAGGACAGATAAGACTTCCAGTGTAGTCTGTCTCTTTCTCTCTTCTATTTTATTGTTTTACCTTTGTCTTACATTTCTATCATCATACTCCACACTGTTTGATAATAGGAAAGGTGAGCATCATGATGCCTCTTGCCGGGCTACCCTAAACTTTGCCCACGTTTCGCAGGACATCAAGAGGCCACGAAGCACCAAGCGATCGTCGAAACAGGAGCTCCAAACCACCAAAGACGAGAGCAGGGACATGAGCAATGGCTCAAACATGGTTGCCCGTAGGGACCCACTCTTCAAACTTCTCAAAAGATTGCGTGCAAAAGAAATGACTGAAGTGGATTTATTAGAGACAAGTTATACGCCATGCTACCATACCTAGCCAAGGTATAGTTCTCACCAAACTTATCCGGACGAGGCAAACTGCGCCTTACCTCGAGGGGTGCTGCTCCATGCCAAAGAACTGCTCCACGACCCAGCACTCAATAAAACAGTCTGAACAGGGGGGGCCACACACTCAAGGCCGAAATCACTGCTGGACCAGATCGCTGTTAGATCTGCCCTTTTCGCCTCATTCTATATAAACATCAAATGTTCACCAATTGAATCACCCAATCACGAGTCCCCTGTGCATTTTCGTGCAAAATGGTGGTAATTAGTAGATTCCTTGGCCGGCAAAATTGCTAAGGTGTCCACGGTCCCGCGAGCGGCCTCCCTTGCTTGGGCTGTGAAGCAGTTCTTTGATCGCCACCAGGATAGCACTCCTATGAGATAAGACACGGTTTGTGTGCTCTGGATAAGTTTGGTGCCCACAGTACCAGTCACGTGACAAGTCCCAAAGCAAGACCAAACCTTTGCCCCCTTGGCTCTTCGCTCGGTTGCATTTGAATCACCATCAAATATTAGCTTTTTTTAATATTCCTTATAAATAAAACAAACAACTTTCGAGATGCATACCAAGCTTTGATGCTTTGCAGAAATCAAAAGTGCAGTGAAAACCACTTCTGCATAACACAAGACAGATTGCAAATACCCGAAATAAGCACGAAGCATGTTTAGATGTAACCAACTCAAATCGTAGAATTTAAACAGCTTTCAAGTTATTTCATGCTGCATCTTTCTCAAAACCTTCAGTAGCATCGAAATATTGTAGTCTTCTTTCCGCTTCTATAACTAAAGCAGGAAACGTCTACCAAGATTACTTCCCAATATTTTTATTTCAGAACCTGATCCTGAGATCCTGCTGCCACCAGAACAAAATTACACAGCGGAGCAACCAACACATGACCAAGAGCTGGAGAGGCCACCAACTCGGTAACATTATGTTATGCATAAAACAGGAGAGTGGTGCTGAGCCCCACCAATAATTCTTGTTATTGGTATTGCTTACTGCATCCCTAAAGAATAAGGGCCAATGTAAGCGTCAATATCCTCTTCAAGGCTGAACTGCAGAAAATATCAACTGTTTTATATTGATCCACTGATCAAACAATCCATCATATTCAGAATTGCAGAGTCTTTTCTAAGCATCCCCAAGTCGTTCTTTTTCTACCTTTTTTTTTTGCAGCTACAAAAATAATGTAGAGACCAGTGAGTGTTGTCTGGGTGACTCTATAGTCGGTGACAGGTCAAGAACCAAGTGGAAGCTCCTCCCACCTCTTTCCACTTTAGCGGAGCGAACCTGGAGAGGAGGCGACTTCCTCTCCACCGTTTGCTCCGCTGAAGTGGAAAGGGATGGGAGGAGCTTCCACTTCGTTCTTGACCTGTCACCGACTATAGCGTGTTGACATCAGACGTGTGCGAACATGTGTAGTTTGTGGGCGGCAGAAGTGTTTGGCAGGTGGCCAACCCTGCTGCCCTCCACCTGTCAAACACCTGAAGCTAACTCAGGTTTTCTGTTGTCTGAAGCTGCCCTCCAAAGATATGCTTCAGACAACAAAAAGCTGAGTTAGCTTCGGTAAGAGTGCAATATCTTTCAGCAAGGCTCTTTTTTTTTTTTTTGTGCTCGTCAAGTGAAGTAACTTCCCTTGTACAAACCATGGGAGACAAGATACTGTGATAATCTCTGAATGGTGCAAAAGTGACATTAGGGGAAGGGGTGGGGAGACTGAATGCAATGAAGAGAGTCCCGGAGTTTGCCTTAACCACTTTTCGGCCAAAGGAGAAAAAGGGGAAGTTTGGAAGAACTGCACTTCATTCCTTAATAAATGTAATCTTAATAGCAGAAAATCATTGTTTGATACCCAAGATACTTCCATGCCAAGAGCTCGCAGCTCAACTTGAAAAGTAACCTGTCATAGTTTCTGCAGTTGTATATATTTCAGAAAAGTTGCAGAATGTGAACAGTTACTTTGGAAGAGAGTGTAGCAAACGACGCATTGAATAGACCTGATTTATTTATTTATTTAATACCTGCCAGTTCCTTCAAATCGAAGCGGAGGGGGCAAGCCCAGAAATAGGACAACACATGGTTTAACGTTTTGCACGACTGTAAAAAACTGGAGCAGTGGTTCTCAACCACTGATGTTTAGGACCTCTACTGGATTAGTAGAAGTGATGGGGGACTTCATCCACCGGGGCGCAAGGAGGTTACGACAAAATGGTGAATGAAGAAAACTGAACGCATGCAAGCAAACCTTAAAGCCCTGAAACTGAGAATGATCAACCCTACTCACCAGGTGCACATGGTTTGGTTTATTTAGCTTTGTGAAACAATGAAAAGTAAAAAAAAAAAAAAAAATAAAAAGCTTTGTTGCTCAGCTTGACTGATGGTTGAGGGCTTCACAGACCCTAACAAGAACTTCAGGGACCCAAAGTGTTTTACGAACCCCCATTTGAGAACCACTGAGCTAGAGTCTAAATTTTGACCGATACTATATTCTAAATGGAGTGAAGAGATTACACTGCCACCTCTTTGCTTGATGCCACTTTTTGGCACTGGCCAATGAGCCTGCACACATCTTCATCAATGAGAATGATAGTATTGATGCTAAAGTTAGCATAATTGGAGAAACCACAAAGTAGTAGCTGGCACTAGGAAACCTGGTGGCATGATCTAGAGCAGGGGTCTCCAAATGTTATGGCTGAGGGACCAAATTAGGAGTCCACCGCAGCCTCCAGGGCCAGAAAATAAACAAAATAAATGAAAAAAAAAAAAATTTCTATATATAGACAAAAACATTTTAATACAAATATTAAAAATAAAGTAAAATTTAAAAAAAAAGTAATACAAGCTGTAATAAGTGAAAACCTACATGCAAATAACATGACTTGCGAGTAATACAGTTCAATATACAGTATAATTTATTATTTGGCTAATGAGAAATCTCACCAGGCATAAGTCAAGGCACTCAAGAACGATGGCATATTTGCAAAGGACATAAAACTAATGAAAATGGTAGGAATCATCACAGCAATACACAAAACTTATCATGCAGGAAAACACAAAATAATTTTAACATGATTACATACATAAAATAGGGGACTAAGAATGCAGATGCCGATGACGACAATGTGCAATAAATGTGACACAAAACTATGAGAGGGATAAAAAATCAAAACGGATACGAAGCGTATGGTGTGCATTGTAGCGCCTTCTCTTTGCATGCTCTTACTTTCGTGGTGGTAGCAGCGGACCTGCTGGAAAGTGGCCGCGGGCCGGGCGTCCCTGCAAGGACCGCGGCCAGCTGCGGGCCGGATATAACTTGCGGGTCAGGGTTTGGAGACCCCTGATCTAGAGTCCTTAAAGGGGCCCTGCAAGCACTTTTTTACTGGTTTTTAATTTGCACCAAACCTGAGCGCACTGACTGTAGTAACGTAATGTAACTTTTCTTTTCTTGAATTTCGCTTTATTTTAAAAGTTATAGGCAAATTAAAATTACAAAAACAAGCAAAAAATAACCTCCCTCATGACGTCCTTGGTTGCTTGAGTGGCCGTGAACTAGAGGAGGGATATTCAGCTCAGCGAGCGCTCACGGCTGCCGCACTGCGTGTCGACGGCGCGAGAGGGCGCCACTAAAGCGTGTTCTGGATAGGCTGTATACAGCGGGCAGCCAGAGCGGCTCTCATTGCATTTGCTGCGCGATTAAACACTAATTCGGCATGACACTTCATTGGCCACAAACGACAGCAAACACGGGTTAAAGACCAGTTCAGAATGGGAGCCACGTCACGCTGCCATACCGTGAAATGGCCAAAACGCAAGACAAAGCTACTCGCTGAAGGCCTTCGGAACGCTCGGAGCCGGTCGGATCCTCCAGTCCGTAAACGACCGCGGCGCCACCGCGTACATCCGGGATCTTTTCGTGTCGGCGCCTGATCCCACTACTCCGTTCTAGTATGCGCCGCCTTTTCCATCACTAGGTGGCGGGTATGTCGACGGGTCATTTCTTGTTTCCATACTTTATAAACTGCATTTGTTTCTTTTCTGATCTAAAATACTGAACAAAAACTACTTTTATAAATAATTGAAACGGTTCGCGCCACTTATGTTTTGTATTTCGACTAAAAAGAAGCTTCTAGCGCCTCTGACCAGTAGTAAGCCCAGGACCAAAGACGTCACATTTTGCGCGCTTTCGGTACCGCGGGTCGCCCCCGTCGGTGGAGGCCGTTTCCGCGTCGCCCAGTGAAAATATGATGCACTGATATTTAGTTACTCTCTCCTGCCCGCTGGCTTGCCCGAACCCCAAGAGACGTGGAAACCGCAAAAAAGGTAGACGCTTAAATATGATTGCAGGGCCCCTTTAACATGCTCACAGTTTCACATTCAATGGCATCCACTTGACCAGAAATATCAAGCCAACTGAGCTTTCTAGTTCATAGATGGCAAAGGCGGATGGCAATCATGTTGATGCCGGACAAAAAGAAAACATATGTGAACTGTATGCATGTTTGCAAGTCCGGCCTCAGGGCGCCGCCATCTTACTCAGTCAGGGTGTGCTTGGACACGTCATAATCCGATTACGAAGCCTTGCTAATGCGTCGTAATCAAATCATGGTCACGCAAAAGCGCACTTCAGGAGAGCAAAAGGGGGCTATCCGGATGCCATACTTGCAAATGTGTATGTGCACAGGAGCATCCGCATAGCCAGCAGTTTACTGCCTTTCGGAGGGTTATAAGTGCATTTGGTTTCCGCTAGGGCCTTCTATATCAAACAGCCCATATCCACACTGAAAGAATAATAGCAAGCCCATTTCCCCACTCATAAGCACGCTGTTCTAGGTTTGACTGCTCCAGTTTGATTTGCTCTGCATATTGCAGCCATTGGTTTCAGTGGCATGACAAAGTTTCAAAGTGAAGCTTTACTGTTTCAGTATACTGGGTACATTCAGTGGCTCAACCATCGTCTTTTTCCCATTCTTAAAGGGGCACTAAAGGGCTTTTTGAGATCCTCATTTTATTGTCATAACTCAATTTATCAGCTCCACTCATCAAAAAGTGATTGAAGTTCCCAACACTTACTGTCGACATAGTATGACAGATGGCACTACAGAACCTTGCTGAATATGGCCGAATGACAGATGGTGCCTATCAGCCACTGGAGAGTGATGGGTTCCCGTGTGGACGAGTAGAACTGGTCGGTCGCTCGTCCATGCGGGGACCCATCGCTCGCGAGTGGCTGGCAAGCGCCGTCCGTAGTTTGACAAAATTCAGCAAGGTTTGGTAGCACCATCTGTTGTCCTGCACTGACTGTAAGTGTCAGGAACTTCGATCACTTTTTTATACTATTCAAATCGGCCGCATATAAACGTAATTTCAAGCTTTTTAGGATACTTAGTGGTCTTAGATTGAGTTATGATGATACAACAAGTATTTCAAAAAGCACTTCAGTGCCCCTTTAAGATTAGATAATCGTGAAGTTCTATGGATATCTTCGATTCGTTTAGGTGACTTTTGGTTGAGGACTTGTCTCTTTTTTTTTTCTTTTTTGCAACTTTTGAATTTTTTGGGCTTGGTGTAGTATGTCACCTGTTAGCACAACCTAACAGGTTATTCAGTTCCAAGGAATACCATAAACTTGCTTTTGTGTTTAGGGAAAAAAGTTTTATTCAGTGAGCCCAACATGTTGAACTGATTGTGTGTTCCTGGGGAAAAAAAAGTCATCTAGCAACAATTTAAGCCTCATCAATAATTTCTTAGCATCTGTAAACAAAACTCATACCTGTTCAATGATCTAAAAGCTTCGAAGAGTTTATTCTAAATGCTAATAGGCAAGCCAAAGCGTAAAAAAAATATTTCATGGTTTTTTTTTATTCTGCATTAGTGCTTTATAAGTTACTGAGGTCAGTGCTTTTTTTGTTTGGACTGTCCAAGCAGGTCCTCACTGAGGTCTTCGAGGCCTCGAAGTTCCAGACCAGCTGCGCCGAGGATTCGGAAGAAAGAGGACGCACCCGCAGAAAGTGCAGCGGCCCCAAGGTAGCCGCTAAGTGCACAGATTCCGAGTACAGACTGGCCTGTGCTGTTTCTTAAGGAAGTTGTGCAGGAACCCCATAACAATCTCAGTAAATAATGAAGCTGGTAACTTAATTTTTTATCCGTTGCATATGAGCAGCTCATTCCTCTGTTTTCTTTCTTAGAGCTGTAAGGTATGCACATTGGTAGTGTTCTAACTGCTTCATAAGGAACCTTCCGTGGTTACTGTTAAAATCAAGTTTCCTTCACAATGAACTGCACCATCTTGTCCTGTGGTTGCAGGGTATGTTGAAACCAGGCTTGTATCACGCCCTGCTTCCGCCTGGCATACCAAAAATGTATGCAAGGCCATAGGCCGTGTACATTGTATATAACAAGGTCAAACCACTTATGTCGTTTCAGCTCAATCATTGAAACTAAAAAAAAATACTAAAAGCAAAAAAACATTTTTTTTTTCCAGATTCAACTTGAACATTGACTAAAGGAACTGAACTGTAAACCTGGAAAACTACAGAAATCTTGCCAGTGCTATATCAAACCAAAAAGAAAGCCATTTGAACAGCCTCACTTCACCACTAGGGAATCTAAAGTTGCAAAAATTTGACTACATAAAAATATAACAGAACTATTGAAGCGTGTCAGACCTTAGTAACCATGCTTTTGAAATAGAAGTCAGGTAGAACATGATAGGTCTGGATCTACCTAAGCCACGGATCTCAACCCCCACAGGGCAGCCACGGCCAAGTCTGTGGAGAATGTCATCCTGGATGGCAATGCCCCCGAGAACGAAGAGGACAAGGAGGAAGAGTTTGTGGTGGCCGAACCCCTGGTAGAGCCGGTCACTGTAAGCAGTCGTCATTCTAGGCATGCTAAGATGAAAAGAAAATGTAAATGATACATGTATAATATGCATGCACATGTGTAGGTGCATTGAATGTGGATGTCCGTGCACGTTGTTTGTGTACTTCTATTATTTCATTTTAGCCATAAAATCAAGGGTGGCACCAAGACACTTCTCCTGAGTGGGAAAGGGGAGCACAGTGTTGTTATCAATTTCCTTTAAAGTGGGCAGACATGTTTTACATGAGGTTAAGTTCACTTGAATGCTGTTATAAATGGCAAGATGCTCGGTATCTAACTTGGTATCAAAGTTGACAAGTTGGAATTTCGGCCAACGCGTGCTGGTTATGGCCACACAGTGCAGGATATAAATTAATCCTCGGTTCTTCGCAAGCGTGCACTTCGTACAGTGTCTGTAATAAAACATTCTCTAAATTTAAAGGGGTAGGGAAACAAAATTTCAGCGCTCATTTTTTAACTTTAATGTGTTGCATGTCGCACCCTAACCTCAAAAACACCAGTCTTCCATTGAAAAGCACAAGAAAACTAATTTTAAAGCTAAATAAACGACTTTCAATGTGCACCTGGTGGATGCATGCGGAGCCTATTAGGGAGGTAGTCTAGCAACGTTGTGGAAACTGCTACGTAGTCGTGACGTAGCAGATTCCTTCGGAGCAGCGCCGCTCTTTGGCATTTCAACGTTTTCCTTCTTAGCTTTCCTCCTGAACTCACAAATCGCGTATTGTACCAAACGGTCCAAAAAGACGGAAAGGGAGGACTCCTCTCTTTCTCGGACCCTCGTTCGTGCAACCGGAAACAACCATTCTCCCCCTAGAATATTAGCCCGTCCCTCAAAACTCGAACAAAAGTCACTTTCCCCACCTCGTTCAGCCCTAAGCTGACAGTGTTGTGGAAGCTACGTTCTCCATGGACCAGCCACACGCTCGTCACCCCACGGGTACTGCGAACGGCTCGGTTGTAAAGCGCTGACGCTATTAACACCACCACAACGCTGACAACGCCACCAAGGGCAAAGCTCATAACCACGTCTGCTTTGCTACCCCACGAACGCGGGAAATGTTTTCTTTCTGTTTTTGTTTGCGCCGGATATCCCATGACGCATCGCACTCTCCGTTCGCTTCTCTTCGAGCGCTTGCTCGAGTGCACCGTTTGGAACAAAAAATATAGCCAATCGTTCAAAATTCAAACGTGCGATTATCATTTACGGTTATTATCCGTCATGCTTGACTCATTTCCGAACAAAATCTGAATATTTCAATTTATGTTTCCGTACCCCTTTAAGGTGAAGTTGGAACCGCCTACCCAGGAAGCGATTCAAGAATCTGAACAGGGTGAGCATAGGAATATCCTTAAATGAATGTACTTTGAGCCTGTTTTTTTATGCTGCAAATTTAATTTATGTGCCCTAAGCATCTCAGAAAATCAAATACAATAATAAATGGCCTTTTGGCCTTTTTCTTCATTAAAACACAACCAAACATTATGGCACGCCCCTTTTCTGAAAAAGGCGTGTTGGGATGTTTGGTTGCATTTTTAATAGCGAAAAAAGATCACACATGTTTGTAATTTTGGATTCTTCAAGATGCTTAGGGCACATAGAATGAGTTCAAATCATAGAAAGATGATTTCAAAATCCACTGTAGTGCACCTTTAACCCTTTACGATCGAGTTTTTTTCCCAAAAGATGTTTCCCAGTGGTTGGGTTGTTTCCAAAAAAATAGTATAAAGAAGGAGTCAATGCACAGGATTTTTCTTAATTATTTAGTAGGAGCACATACAGTGCTTGCACACTGTTTAGGTTTAGAAGCATCAAATTAAAATACTGAATCTCTAAAATATCCTTATTATCTCTTTGTCACCTTGCTTCCATTTAGTTTTATTTTTGGCGCATCTGCTTCCACGACATTCTAGCGGCTTCAGATTCCCAGCCAGAGGTACTTCACAGAGCTTCTCCGTCGCAGGACTAGCTCTCATTCTCTGAATTTAATTCCTTAAAACGTTAGAAGTCTGAACTGGAAGAGCCAGTGCTCCCATTGGCACTACCACCAGAGTGGCCAGTATGCAAAGTGTGAGCGAAGCGTCTAATTTGAAAAATATAAATAGCCCAGCAAAGCTAAACCCTAAGTGAATATAACATTAATAGTTCACCAAAGACATAACAAATAGCGACACTTCCAGAGGTGTGCTCACTTTCACGTTTAGGTGGTCAATTTCAAACGTGTCATCACCGCTATACATGTACGGCGACGACCGTCAGAGGGTTAAGCACATCCCCCCTGTCATTATACAGTTTACAAGATTAATCTGGGTTGGAGTAATGTAACATGTATACTTAAGATGTAGACAAATATGGTACATAGTGAAATGGCCATACAACAAATTTCAGCTTAGAAGATGGACAGTTGACTAATGCTTAAATAGACAAAACTAGAGCTAAGTGATTAATTTCCAAGGTTGTGTCACCTTGTCCACCCTAGGAAGTCTGGTGAAGCAACTGCTTGAGACCAAGAAAGAGCTTGAGCAAGGGAGTCAACGACCATCTACTGGTCTCAGTATGACAGAGTCTGTAAGTACTAGCTTTACTGATTGGTGCTAAATTTTAAAAAATCCCAAGTGCTCATTTATAGTACTTACAACCTACAGTTGACTAAAAGATTGCAGAGCAGTGTTTTCCCTTCCTAAGGCACTGTTGGTACAGAGCTTCATTTCTGCAATCAACTTAATTCTTTGAGCATTTAACTTTGAATGTTTATTTGCTTTTTCAAGAAAGTGACTTGCCCTTAATTGTTAGCCAAGAAATTTTTCAAATCAGTCCGTGATATATTTTGGATTGTTGGGGAGATTAATACCATCTGCGAGTCGCATACCATCTTTTGTGCCAATGGGAGATTCTCTGCAGTGCATGACTACCACCCGGAAGTGTAAATATGTCACAATGTGCAGAAATTAAGCAATAGGGAAAAAAGTGTGTCCTTACTTTGTGGCCTTAAAGAAAATGATATTATAATTATTGCTCCCATCTAATACAGCAGTACCTCTTTCCATTAGTTTGAAAAATTCAAGCTAGCACAATGGGCTTTTTTCAGGGTTGTTTATGTGCATGCATAGTGGTAACAGACGCAGCTGTCTACCAGTTTTGGCGGCGCTTACGGGACGGTATGGCAATCGGTAACGATATGGAGCCGGGGGCAGCCTGGCATTTTAATTGCAGGAAACCTTAATTTTGTTAAGGCCTTTGTATACAGGCATAACAGATGGATAAAATGTTTTAGAAGGCCACCGAAACCGCTTCCCGGTTTGCCGATAGGTGGGGCCGAATATTTGCAGAAAAGGTGGATTGAGAAAATGCACACGGCACAAGTTACCCCTGCTACTGTTTTCCTGCAGCACGTCCATGCACCTGCACGTGCATCAACAAATTTCATAGGGGCTGCACTAAAAAAAGAAATGTACCAAAAAAAAAGAAAAAATTTGTGCAGTGAAAGCTCACACTGAACATTCGATGCGACGAGTTGCAATTTCCCTTCTTGCCAGCTTCGACAAGAATGGGTGTTTTACAAGCACACCCGCACAGATGTAATCACTGTCGTGCAATGCACAGCAAAGACAAAAGTCACTACAAATCAAGGCTCGCTAACTACTCACAGTATAAAAGTTCATACAGATTCATGTACGGACACCACCATTCCCCCCTGAAAATCATCCACAATGTGAGATGTCCATAATAATAAGACAGAACACTATGTATTTGCCCTCTTTGTCCTTGAAAATTTTGTCTGTATAGCGGGGTATCCCTATTAACGGGGTCCACATCAAGCTCTTCATAGGGCACTCATCAGTCTGTGTCTTGTTCCCAAGTGTAACGAGGGTGTGGCTCCTTTCATGACGACGCCAGGCGAGGTCCGCAGTGGCCACAAAGGTGCAGACACAGGACAAGACGGACGTCCTCCGCGGACACATCCAGGCAGTGAGCCGCGGAGCGCTACCGCTGGGAAGGCTCCTTGACGTCCTCTCCGAGGACCTTGACTACATGAACACAGAACTCAAGGCGTGGGCAGAAGAGCACGCCAAGAACCTCAAGGCCTTCACAGCCGAGCAGAGGTAAAGAGGACGAGGCCCAAAGCATTCTCAGGAATAGCCCCAGGACAGTGAACAGGAGACGTCTCAGTGGGGTGCTAGTCAGCATGGCTGGTGGCCGAAAAGGGAAACATTGAGAAGGCTGGGCCATCGAGCGACTGGGTATGAGCGCGACGTTGCAGTTCGGCAGGGAACTCTGACGTTCAAGCTCGAGATTGGTTCCAATGATTGCGGCAGCGGACTATCTCAGAGCTGCAAAAAGTCTGCACAAAATGGCGCTATCTAGCAAACCAAACTTCACTGTCCGGTCAGCCTCCCACAAAAATTCTTCTGCTTGTTTAACCTTTTCTTTTTCAATACTCTCAGTGCTGAGATGGCAGTACAGAACGGTAGGCATAGGACTTCACAGTAAACAGTAAAAATAAAATGAAGAGTAAAATCTTGTTAGAATATGAGTCAATTCAGTAAAATACTGATGAAGGTGACTTAGTTAAAGGAGCTGTGCAACGATTTTAATGTTGAAAGAATTGGCATCTTCTACTTTTGACATTGTTCACCTTGTCACAAAGAACAAGAAACACACCTCCTTCCTTCGAAATGTTGAGATTTCGCCGTGTAATCGCGAGACAAAAATTAATATTTCCCGACCTGCAACCGCGAGCGGCGGCCATGAGAAACGCGCAGCATGACACGTCAATGGGGGTCTTGTAGAAAGATAGCAAGTTGTGCGAATACCTGCTCGATAAAACATAATTTTTCTATAAATCTTGTCGTTCCAACATAAAGATAAATGCATCAAAAACCTGGTATCATCGACAAAACTTTTATTATACGGAGTTTTAGTGGCGCCATCTATCCCAGGTCCACAAAACCGTCGGCTCTCTCTGCCACCGCGAACAGCGGAACAGCCGCCAGAAGCCGGAGGGGGAGGGGGACAGGGCCGGACGGGTATGGCTGGGAACCCGGATGATACTTTCCTCCTTTCACCATATTGTTTGCGCTGCGCCCGCCAGCGCGTGGTCACGAGCGGATGAGCTCTCACTGCTCACTGATGGCTCTAGAGAGAGAACTTTACCGGAACCCCACGCCTACTCCATCGACGTCACTGCGCATGTGACCCGGAAGACGATGTACGAGTTGAGAGGTGGCAAAAACCTTGATCTTTTTCATTTTTTAAAAATAAAAACTAGGGTATCCAGGCAAGATCTATTTCTGTAGTTCACTTGAGAAGTGTCAGGCATCAACTTCCACAATTATTTAAGCAAAGCACTAAAACTGTTGCACAGCTCCTTTAACCCATTCGCTAACAAAGAGCCATTCACAGATGGCGCGCTATGTAGACTTGGGGCAGTGTTATTAGATACATTGCCAACAGATGGCGAGGGTTTGTTCGAGCTTGTTCTTTTGTGTGTCATCTTTCCCGCTCGATCGCTGCCTGCATGGAGAAGATGGCAGTGCCAGTGTACGGTGTGGCCTTTCTGATGATGAAATCATAGATATCCTCTTCGACAGCGATGATGACGCGACGTTTGGTGACGATAGTGAGTTTTTGGAGCCTTCTGTCGACGACAAGAACGATTCCGATTGCAGTTCCGAGTCAGAATCACGACAAAAGTGCACTGGTTGTGCGACGCCTAAGCGACTGAGGATGGAATGCTTCGAGATCTTTCATTCGAGGAAGAATATACAAGGGCCTATTGACTTAAAGACTTGAACAAACCACTTAAAGACGGACGACCAGTTCGCGCTTTCCACTTTTCCCCCTGCCTCCTCGCCCCCCTTCTACCCCGTCCACCGTTGCCTGTTTCCTCCTCCCCTATGGCGAGGAGGATTGTCTGCCTTGCAGAATCTCGGGTCTGGTCGTCGGCCTTTAAGCATGTAAACAAACATGTTTTCTTGTTTTCTGCACAGAGTTTTACTGTAAAAGCTTATTATGCAAGCAAAACAGTCACACCTAGTGCGGCCCTGTTTTAGGGGAAAAACATGCAGTATGGACGGCCCTGCAGCGCACGACGTGCGCGGTAGCGAATGGGTTAACGTCTTTTTAAATACATCAGTGGATGGTATGTTTACTATAGGATGCTGGAAGAAGGTCCGACTCCTCAGACGTTCTTGGTACAAAGGAAGCGATGTAAGCTGACGTTTCACAATGAGGCGTAAAGACTTTAAAATGATGCTCCATTTGCGTAGAAACGTACGAGGGGCTAAGAAATAGTTTGCTTTGTAGTGAAAGATTCAAATGATTAATGATGTAAAAAGGCATAAACGGGATATTCTACAACATAAGGAAAGAAGAGGCAGAGATAATGTGGTGCTGAGAGATATAATTTATTTTATGATGAGTGTCCTGCATTTGTTAGCTTCCAGACCCATAACATTCAGGTGAGGAGGAGCAAGGCCACAAAGAAGAATGAAGGAAGAGAGACCAGGGAAAGATTTCGATTCCTGACCGACAAAAATATTTGTCAGCAAGGCTGGAAATCTTTTTCAACCCTTTTCCACCGGTCACTTGACAGTAGGGGGCCTCTTTTGTGCTGGCTTCTTGTGAAGGGTGTGTCTATAATGGGTGATTAGGATTATCTGCTCTAGCGTCTACTACAATTGGAAGAAACAAAAAGAAAGAAGGTGGGAAGGGAGGAGGAGGAAAACATCTTGTGAAAACTCGAGGTCAATTTTGTATTCAGACTTTTTTTTACTTTTAATGTGTTTTAGAGGGGCTTTTTTTTGTTTTTGTTTTTATTATCATAAGGAAAGCACATGCAGTGCTCGCAAGCTGTACAGGTTGAGAAGCATCAAATGAAAATAATGAGGGCGAAAACCTGTCGCCTTTCGTCCATTTGGTTTCACTTTGCCGCATCTGTTTATAGGACGTCCCAGCGGTACCAAACTCTCAACTGGAAATATTTTACACAGCTTCTCCATCAGATGATGAGCTCTCATCCTCTGAATTCAATTGTAAGAAGAGTTAAAACTCTGAATCTGAAGAGCTGGTGCTCTGACTGCTCGTGGAATGCCTAATCTTGAAACTATAAATAGCCCCCAGAAAGGCAAAACACGGTTAAAATATGTTTATAGTTCCCCCAAGACGTAACAGAAATCAGCATCTCAAAGGATGCACGCGGTTCCACATTTAGGCGGGAACTTCTATATGTGTATTCGCCGCCGTACATGTATGGCATCGACCGTCAAAAGATGAAGGGAAAATGAGCATTCATGGCACCTTTCTCTTGTTTTAACCTGTGCAGTTGTTTGCTCGGGTGGTGCACGAAAGCCCCCGATGTCAAAAGCCCCGTGTCAAATACCCCCCGGCAAACACCCCGTCCTTTTTGCCCCGCTTTTAAAAGCCCCAGTTTCACAAGCCTATGACACGAATCCCCCGTGTCAGGTGGCCGGGTCCTCAATGTGACAGCGGAGCGTTCTGCTTTGAACTAAGAGACAGTAAGTGTGCATGCAACCCAGTGTAACGTAATCATGCCGTGCCCCAGACTCAAGTAAAAAATAACTGGTTAAAACTTCCCTTCTTCAGGCGTACGCTATAGACATTCATGTCTTGTGACGTTAGAAGTGAGAACAAACAAAAAATATCACTCACTGGCAAAACATTTTTAGCTTTTGCTGACTTTGAAGCATGCGTGGATTCACAGTTCCGACGAAGTGGGTTCTGTATAAACTGCTAGCCCACAACTTATGGCGCCATAAAAATCACAGCACCAAACACGAGTTAGGTAAACTAAGGTAGGTAAACTTCTGCGTCTGAATACACCTCCATGACAGCCGAGTGCATAGCGGGTGATGCAGATTTATGCAACTGGCCACTTGTACGTCATTCCAAGTTTTTCGGCAGTTGAAGTTAGCCTTATTATAGTTGTTCCTTTTACTTAAAAGACCCTTTGCAGACCCTCAACAAATTAGGTTATGACATGGAACAATTCTGGTTGAAGCACAAAGAGGGTGAGACGGGGACAGTGAGGACGGGGTTTTTGGCACGTGGGAAATACGGGAAAGGGTAACTGCACGCGGGGTTTTGAAGGCGTGGGGCTAATGACGCAGGGCTTTTGCGACAGGAATTCTGCCCGCGGAAAATCATGCTACAGTTGTTTGCTCCTCAAAGACTTTGTGACTTTGTATCTCGGACTCCAAGAATGGTCACAGTGGCATTTTTTTATCCTTCAGCATGACAGAATCGGTTCTGGAACCCCTGAGACAGACATTGGAGGACCTGGACCGGCAAATTGCCGACCAAATGGATGCCATCTCAGCAACCAAGGCCAGCATATTCAGCAACGCCGAGCGACTGGAGAAGATGCTAGCTGCGGCCAACATTGGTCGCTAGCAGCCTTTATTTTCTCCCAGACATGAGAGATGTGACGAGGCATGCAACCAAAATGTGTATAACGCGTGTGGTAATCGATGAAAAGTCAGCAAACCAGGTTCACCACAAACCTTACACCTTGCGTTTTGTTTCTAGATGTACTGTTTGTTGAAATTCGCTTTCTCACCAACCCTCATGCATTTTGCCGACTTTGTCCAGCAGAAAATTCAAGGATTCTATAAATGCCGTGACTCGATTTTGTGGAGACAGCCGACACCTTGGGCAGACCTTACAGTAAAAGTTTGCTTTTTCTTATCAATTTTCGAAGCAATAGCCGGGTGAAAAGTGAAAAAAAAAAAAAACCTGGTGCCAGGCACGGTTACGACTGTGCATATTGAAACGCTGCAATCCCATATAAATACATATATATAGTCTGCCGTTAGAACTCCCCAAACAACACCGTGGGAGAGTGTTTTCTCGTGACATTTGCTGGTGCTAATGCAATATATACAAAATAAAAAGTGTGAATGCTACCTCAATGTTCTCGTGTCTTGACCATAACCAATAATGCTGATCCAAGAGTTTGCACAAGGGCTAGGGGCACCTTTCTAGGGAGAGTTTGTGACGAGCGCCTACCGGAGAAAAGTGACGGGATCTACATTTTAATTCGGTTTGAGACCACCGTAAGGCCCCCATGGATGCCCTCCCTCGAGAGATCGCCCATTTGTTTTTCTGGCTAAATGTCCACCAGCTAAAAATTCAGAAACATGGCACACCCCTGATTCCTATCAAACATCAAGCAACGTCCGACGGGAATTGCATGCATGAACCGCGTGATCTGTGAGCTTGGTTCCCGCGCAAGCTCGCAACTGTTTCCTAAGGGGTTTTTGTCGTGCAACGTGTCCGCAATCTGCGTGCACGATATCGGTTCCCTCGTGGCTTCCTGTGTGTTTATCGCACCGTGAAATGCGAACTGACTGCATCTGCAATCTGTGGTATCCGTTCCCACAGATGTTTGTTGCACCGCAGAACCCCAGAATGATGTGTCCGCAATCTGGGCACACGATATCTGTTCCCATCAGAAGCAAGTTTGTAGAGAGTTTCCATGCATTTATTGCACCATAAAACATGAATGTGCTGCGTCCGCGATCTGTGACATCCATCCTATGCGACATGCGAGCTCGTAGAAGGTTTCCGCAGGTTTAATGGTGAATTCGTACAACGAAACTTTTCTCCAAGAAGCGCATCAAGTGTCATTGAATTTTGAGTCACGTGCACCGCGTCACGAACGTTCAGTGATCTCCTGAGCCCGCAGGGAGTCGCATAAAATCTGCAACCGGTCTACAAAATATTTGTTCTCTAGTCGTCGTAGTCCTTCCCTTTTGGGGAAGGATTACAGTCAGCAGCATTGAGCTGTGGAATGCCTCTCTTTCCCTTTTCTCTTCCCCCGCCTTTTGTTTGATCAGCTCCTGAAGGCAGCGAACACAATCAAAGAAAGAAAGACTACGCCGACTCGATAAAAAACGACTCCGTCGTGCGAATACTGACTCAGATTTTCTCCACCTCCTCCTCCTCCCTCTCGTGGCTTTTCCTCTACACAACCTATGACATACTCAGTTATCTCCGGAAACAGAAATCTGTTATGCGAACACACCAAAACGCACAGCGACATGCAAATTTGCCATGTCTGCGATCTGCGGTCAGTTCCCGTGTCATGTGATTCATAGCATTTGCCCTGGGGCCCTATGCTACACGATGGGACCAAGCGGGAGGGGACCAAGAGACCGATACAATGCCGTCTGCTGCGATTGGTCAGCACCGCGCCGCTGACCAATTGCAGCAGACGGCGTTGTATTGGTCCCGCTTGGTCCCACCGTGTAGCATAGGGTCCCTGGTGTTCGTCGCTCGTTTCTGATCTAATTTCGTCGTCGCATCCCCGAAGATTGCCCACCCAATATTTTTCTCTACTTGTCTCCACATCGTGAGTGGGCGTCCCTACAGGATTTTACGGTAAGGTATCTGCAGTCTCTGGCAAGGTGAGAACAGCAGACAAGCTTCAGTAGTCCTACCTCCAGAGCAAGTTCCCTAGCTTAGACAGCGCTTTGGCGTCTCATGCACCGCAAGCGTGCTCGTGCAGCCCAAAGCGCAGCGGAAGACGTGCACCGCATGCTGAAGACCGGGCATTCGAAAATACATGCCTCGCTTTCTAGCAACTACAATTTGAACACATTAGCAGTATAATGAACACTACAGTTGTATACTATTTCATATAACACTTAAGGAACCAAATAGAGTGAAAATGCAAGCATGCATAAGGAGTAAGATATACAAATACCAAAAATGATTTTTATTTCATTTTACAAGATTAGATAGAGGCTCCACGAATGGAAAACTGTACAAATATTACTATACATACGAAGGAGGTTTGAAGCCGCTTACATTGTTGGAGCTCGGACCCAACCCAAGGTGAGCAACTTGGACGAGTCTGCAAGTTCCCGTCACCTGTCGTCGTCTTCTTTTTGTTCAACAAACAGCCTCAGTGTTTCATTTTGAAGAGGGATCAACAAGTTCTCTGTGCCGTCATGGCCCTGCATAAAGGGCGAAAAAATTGACAAAAAATGTATTAATCTTTTTTTCTGGGGGGGGGGATTAACTTTACAACAAAGGCTTTCTTTGACAGGTTGTAATGCATTTTGGATCTGCTACATCAGTAATTGCAATTAATCAACTGTGCAAAGTTCAGCATTAACAAAGACATGATGTAATCTAAAATATATTAGGAAGTTGTAGTGGGCTAGTTTACCAGTACAGTAGAACTCCAAGGGACTGTGTAAAATTGTTGCACTTATCAGAAGAAAAAAAAAAGGTCGCTTTGAGGAAATGGCAAACCAAACAAACATTTTGCAAGGTTCCACACACCCGCAAGGTTATGCTCATCTGAGTTCCATTTAATGGGATTTAACTGTATTAGCAAGCAGCAAAGTATGGACATGGATGCAGCACCCTTCATGTAATACCGGATATGTTTAAAAAGTTCATAACCCACCCCAAAGTCCAGCACAACTTTGTTTGCAACTGACAAGCCCAACATCTTGTTTGTAGTTCTACAGTAAATGCCAAACTTAAAATTTCCATAGAAATTTTCACATTCAAACTTGTTTTCATGCCCAAGAGTGCAAGCTGTCAATGGCACATGTGGCTGACTCCTACCTGGTCCCTCCCCATATTCTTCGTAAATACTTATTTCACTCATTTGCATTCAACAGTGCACCTACAGCACAAAAATTCTCCCCTTGCGGAGTGGGCACTCTAACGCATGTGCATTGCGATGTCCACGCTTTTGCACTGCGCCGAGAAAGAGGGCTGCCGCCTGCCTACCAAGATACCGGATTCACCAAGACAGCAGAGACGGCTGTCTTAAGGGGTTTCTACAATGATAGATGGCAGCAGCCACCCTTCCCAATTCAAAGGGGAAAACCTCAAGGCTGCGCTCGCCCTCCAGTTCCAACTACACAAAGCCTGTCAGCACCAAGGTCATTGGATTTACCGCAAAATACCGGGCAAGCGTTCAGTCAAACTTTGGAGATATTTGCAAAATAATGGGGGATGGGCACTTGTCCGGTCATCAGTTTTATATATAGATTTTGTGGGGACCGTTGGTTGCCCTTCCCCGATGGCCGGTATAACGGCCGTGGTTCGGAATGCTTGGCCTGGCTGCCGTGAGTTCCAACTTGTTCGTGAAGCGTAGGAGAGCCGCCAGGCTTGGGGGGCTCTCCTCCTCACTCTCTCCCAAGGGGGCCTTTTTCCGTCCCCCCGTTCATCTGGAAACCTACCGTAAAATACCGAGGAAGCGCCCATACCCGTTCAAGCGCCCACTATTAACATTTTTCAAATTCAAAAATTTGGGCAAGTACACATCAAGCGCCCTAATAAGCTCCCATAGTTGGCTTTACGCGTATTTCCATAAAATGGGGGTGGGCGTTTCTTCAGTATTTTACGGTAGTTGTTTTGGGTGAGGACGACACCCGCGAGGGGAGGAGGTCGACGCGCGTTCCAGACTTCGGGAACGTGGGGGACTCCTCCTGCGAATGCGATGGAGATCGGATGTGTCGCGAAGGGCTTCCTTTGCCCGCTCTGGACTGCGCTCTCGAGACGGTGTCGACAGGGTGAGCCTTTCATCTGACCTTGTCGGCGCGGGGGTTTTGGGGACAGTGTGTCTTTTGGTGTTCCAATAAACACCATTGGACCCAGTTTTATTGTGGTACGTGCTCCTCCTTTTTAGAGAAGCGATCAGTTGTGCGGGTGATGTTCGAACCCGCCCGTAGCGGTGTTCTTGAGAGCAAGCTGCGGGGTGTGGGAGTAGGCTTGGTGTCTCCCAATTAGAGACCGCCATTGAACCCTTCGGTTACCATCACCCGTGACCATCCCACAATGTACTGCGCATATTTTCTCAGATCTTACAAATTTGGGAATGGGCAGTTAGTGTGGAATGGGCGGATGCGCGGTATTCTACGGTAAGTGGAGTGACATGTATTCTTTAGTAAAATATTTGTTCTCTGTCTGTCCTTTCTTGCATTTCAAATAAAATAATTTCCTGAAATACAGGTACCGGCACTGACGGTACCTGTATTTCCAATACAGTCCCCATTTAATGTCTGAATGGATTTCAAGCTGCTACTCATACAGCATTTCTAGCAGGGCTGGGCCAGTATACAAATACTGAGATACACGCATTTTAAGGCCAAAATACAGATACTGAGATACAAATCTGTTCTATGCAAAGGGAAGGGACACCTCCAAGAGACTTGTGCAAAAATGGCAAAAAAGTATTCCAGAATGCTGATACAGATACATGGAGAAAACATTTTTTACCAAGTGGTGGAAGGAGGGAAGGGTGCAGTTTGGGACGAACGAAATTGATAGATCTGGTGTTCCCCTCTATGTATCAGTTTATGCACCTCCCAATACATCAGGCTCTTCGTCTACCGTATTTACTCGCACAATGAATGCACTCGCGTAATAAATACACCCCCCAAGTCGGTTCTCAAAATTTTGACTTATTTTTTCACTCGCGTAATAAACGCACCCCCAACTCCTACGTCAAAATTTTTGACCCCCTCCCCCCCCCGCGCGCGAAATGAATGCACTTTTCTATTCTGGTGCAGCGAGGTCGCGAATGCATGGGCAGCGTGGGCGAACAAAAACTCCTTGCAAAAGGCGTTAAAAAAATTCGCAAAGATCCAACGGAAGCAAGAAAAAAAAACATGAAAAGGACCTTTTTTTTTTTTTTTTTTTTTTTTCTTTGCACAGCGCAGTCTGGATTTTGGGTTTGCGCGCCGCGGCTCACAAGGAGGTAAGAAAGAGAAGCGGAGAAGTGCTCTAAGCGAAGGTAACAGCTTTCGAGAGGCGGCAAAAAGAAAAAAAAAAAACACAAAGCTAAGAGAAAACAAAAACAAAGAGGAGCTTTTTTTTTTTCTTCTTTTTTTTTTTTTTGCACAGCACAGTTTGGTTACGGGGGGTCGCGCGCCGCGCGCAAGGAGCAGAGCCGTATATGGGGAGAGTTTGGTCAGTCTATGATCTCGCCGCCGTAACGCTCTCCTCCCGGGTGAGCCAATCAGCACGCGGCGCAGAGCGAGAGGCATGAGCGGGGAGGGCCGGCATTTTCGTTCATTCTCCCGGCGAAATACATGGGATCGGCATCTAAATCTCAATTATTTCCTTTTATATCGCTAGCTCTGGCAAGAAAATGATATACTGTTATTACTCGGTGGGTTACAAAGCTAATAAATGAAGTTTTCTCGACGTATGGCCGCAATCTTTTATTCAGGCGAAAAAGAAGTCGGCCCGTAGCAGACGACGCGTAGCCTCAGCAATGCTGTTCTCCGCCCAGTCTGCGACAGCGTTGCGAAAAAATGGCGGTCGTCTCCGCTCTGCTCCCCTCTTTCTCTCTCGCTCCTTCAGCGCTCTCCTCCCTTTCATTTACTTTTCTCCTCTCCGGCGCCTTCGTCGCCACACCCACTGACCAAACTCTCCCAATATACGGCTCCGGCAAGGAGGTAAAGGTCCATATGCACATTCGCGTTTGAACGCGTTTGAGAGCGTTGCGGAGTCCTTACGGCCAGGAGCGGTCGCTTGCGGTGCTACGCGCGCCTTCCCACAACGCTCCGTAGCGCGGCGCAAGCAAGTAAAGACTTGCTCAACTTTCCAAAGCGTTGCAGTGCGTTTGGGTGCATTCGACCAATCAGAGGCCGAGAGAGGAGAGAAGGGTGACGTGTCCGCTCGCGCCACTCGGCCGACTCGGCGAGACGTATCCGGTTCTCCGCTCGCAGAACTTGCTTTTTCGTTTTGGGGAGAGGTGGGAAGTGTATTTTCCAAGGCTGCGGTGGTTCAAGCTTGACAAAACCACGGGGAAGCCAGCGGAGTTGTCCCAAGATCTAACACTTCAACGCTGTCGCTGTGCACCACCATGTTGCCTTGGATTTCGCTTACTATTGGTTGTTGATTACGGGCTTTATGGCACAAAGCTCTTACTATTGGTGAGCCGCTAGCGACGATAGCGCATTCTTATTGGCTCTTGACTGCGGTTGACTGCGTGTCAACACAACTGTGCGTACAAGTTTGGCGCAAGCGCTCTTTGCATCGCAACACGTCTGCTTGCCGCTACAGAACGCACCGCGCTCAAACGCGAATGTGCGTATGGGCCTTAAGAAAGAGGAGCGGGGAAGCCCTCTAAGCAAACGAAACAACTTGCAAAAGGCAGCAAACAGGGTTGCCAGGTGTGTGTACTCTGACCCGCTAAATTGCCACGAGATATAGCCCAAAAATAGCCAAATGTCGATCCAAAACAATAGCCGAAAAGTAGCCAAAAAAATGGACCATTTGAAACGTTTATTTTAAACACAAAAGCCATTAAACACAAAAGCCATGCGTCAAATAGAACTATTCACACCATTAGCATCACTAGTTCACAGAACCAACGTCAGAGCATGGGTACATCAGTGTATTAAATCGTGTCAGAAAAACCTCTGAAGGAACATAGTCCTTGCAGCCCTGCTCTTTGCCCCGCAGTCCGAATTTAACATACAAAATGTTCTCAAGCATTTCCATCGACATCCTGTTTCGCAAGAACAGGCAACCTTAAGAATGTGCAGAGCAGGTGCACATTTTTAGGAGGAATAACAGCATACACTTGCATTCGGACAAGATTCGGGGGTAAACAACTGCACAAGGAGCGCAAAGAGCAGACGAATTTGCTTGCTGTCGCATACTTATCAGGGTCCACAGACTGAAGCGTCAAATGTTTACGTAACTTACTCTAAAAATATCATGTTTGAACCTATAAACCTAAGTGATTTGAGGCATTTTGGTGTGCCCAGCACGGGTCAGAAATTGCCCAAAACTAGCCAAATAGCCAACTACCATTTTTTCCCGCCAACTGCAAACAAAACTAGCCCAATTTGGCTATTTATAGCCCAACCTAACAACCCTGGCCGGAAAAAAAAAAAAAAAAAAACCCACGGAACTGAGAAAAAAACAAAAGAAAAAGAGGAGCTTTTTTTCTTTTTTTTTTGTACAGCGCAGTTCGATT